ACTGGATTAGTAATAATTCCTTGATATCATCTGATACGGTCCTGATTATATTTTTGCAATTCAAAATAGGAAACAAAGTGGTCAATTAGTCTGTAACTTCTTGAGTTGGAAGGAACCTCAGATAATCAGCTTCTATTAATATCTACTCAAGGCAGAGATCTCCCTGTCCTGTTTTCAAATATCACAGAGCATTAGTGCATTAGGAAGGACTGTGGTGATCTCCCAGCTCAACTTCTCACTTGACTGATCAGGACATTGGGGGTCTGAAAAGTCACATAACATGCATGGTCACATGGCAAGTTAGAGGTCAAGGTAGGATTGTGATCCATTCCTCTGATCCCGATTTCACAGCAGACTGTCTCTGTAGCAAGAAACGCCACGGACTTCTTCTAATAGTCAGATCTATACTTTAATACTGAAGTTATGGTTTCGGGCTCACTAAACTGCCAATTATCTGTGTTTAAGCTTGTTTCTTCTGTGAAAATATCGACCAACGAGCCTGAATTTTCTTTCTGTTCATCTGTCATGCTTTTGGAGACCATCATTAAGTTGCATTTTAGGCTATTCCTATGAGACTGAGCAGCCCTGAGTCTGATCCTATCCTCACAGAGTTTGCTTTCTCTCCTGAACTAGTAAAGGACACAGTTACTAGAAGCACGAAAAAGGTCTTGCTCAAATGAGGCCACGCTCTCATTTTTGCCAAGTGGTCATGAGAATATGCCATCAAAATAGAATGCACTCAGAAACAGGCCCTAAAGTCTTCAGCTATGTTTAATTAAAAACAAACAAAAAAACTCTTCACATGTCAGATGAAACAGAAACCAGGAAGCTGAGACAGAGTTGGAACCGGGTGAGCTCTTGAAGTGTTTGCTGAGATGGTGAGGTGTGCTTGAGGGCATCTGGTGGCTACTTTCTCCTTAGATTATCACACAAAGATCTGCTGCCCTGGAGACCAGATTGCCCTCTACTGACTCTGGAGAACAAGGTGGAGAATAGGTTAGAAAATCCCCAGGGTCCAAAACTGTGTCTGAATAAATTAAAACACCAAGTTACGGAGCTGAAGATTAAACTAACAACCCGAAGTCAGTGAAATCGACTGTTTTGACTACAGGACGTCAAAATGCTAGTCTGTTATTTTGACTGACGTAAGCCATTTGCCCAGCTGGTTGCCTTCTGGCAATACATTAGAGCCCAACCTCAATTAACTGGGATTTAATTCAATTAATTGAAAAAAAAATGTGTTTTCTGTCATATTTCATTTTTTGGTAGAAAGTGGCAAGATAGCAATCCAGTATCAGGGCTTTATTAAAATATCCTCTATAAGGCAATGGCTTCCAAAATCTGTTGCACATTGAAATCACCAGAAAACCTTCAAAAATACTGATTCTCGGCTTCCCCCGCCCACACTCTGATTTAATGATGTAGGGTGCCACCTGAACTTCAGAATTCTAATGTATGACAAAGTTTGCGAACCATTGCTCTAAGGTATTTTGAGGGGTGGGTATGATGCATCTTTGTCACCCAAACCATTATATAACATTGGGTGGAGGAAGATTTGTTTTTCCCTCTTTGGATCTACTGAGCCAAAGAAGAACAATCCATTTAAGGCTACATAAATACAAATACTGTATAATTTAATGTGGCTTAGAGAGTTTTGTGTTATTTTTCCTTAGAGAGTTCTGTTGGTTTTAAAATCAAAAATTAGGAAAGGGGCTTCCCTGGTGGCGCAGTGGTTGAGAGTCCGCCTGCCGATGCCCGGGACAGAGGTTCGTGCCCCTGTCCGGGAAGATCCCACATGCCACGGAGTGGCTGGGTCCGTGAGCCATGGCCGCTGAGCCTGCACGTCCGGAGCCTGTGCTCCGCAACGGGAGAGGCCACAACAGTGAGAGGCCTGCGTACCGCAAAAAAAAAAATTTAGGAAATAAATACTTCTTTACTATTCAGTCAGACAAACAAAATTCTGTCCTTGTGAAACCGGCTAAGAGAAAAAGCTAAGGGGCAGGGAGGGATCAGGGAGAGAAGGAACGAGAAGCACAAAGGACAAATCCAGTTTCTCCGCGGCCCCTTGGCTTCCTCGACAAATGCAGCTTTTCCGGCTGTCTTGCTCTATAAGCCTCTTGACCGAGTTTTTATGTGGATGAGCTTCTGGTGAGAAAGGAAGAGAGTAAAGGCAGCAAGGGAGACACAAGTGCCTTGCTTTTGATGTTCATTCAGTTTTATTGGCTTGTTTCTGCTTCTGCACCTGAGCTTATCCTGTCTTGATTATGTGGACCCCGTGAGCCCTGACCCTTCTTGCTTGACCCTGGATTACCTCCCCAGCTCGATTCCAAGTGCCCTCGTCACAGGCTTGCTTGTCCTTGCTGCACCCTGCGTTCTGTTTAAGATCGACTCCATGCTCTTCCTACTTTTCCAGACACCCTGGTGGCTTCTCCAGACAGAACCCAAGCCCTGGATTTTCTTCTTATCATCTTAGTTAGACACGGCCACTGTGGTGCCCCAACCAGTGCCTATTCTGAGGGTGCCTGCCACAGACAGTCGTGTATGTACTGGCTGACACGGCTTCCCCCTGGCCTTACCCGTCTCACGGTGGATCTGACCAACTATTGCATTGGGTTGTCAGAGGCCCACAGGGGCGTCTGGTCTGAAAAACTCTGTCCAAAGAAGGGAGAGAAGTGACAGTCAGATGTTTTATGCTGGGGATTTGAACTGGCCAACGGAACAGGAAAAAGGCAGCAGCAGTAAGGGTAGAAGTTGAGAAGTTATGATGTAGAGAGACGGCAGAGTGGCCATGATTCCAGGAGGAGCTGAAACCAGCAGCAAACGGTAGTGGGGAAGGAGAGGAATTCTGAGGTACAGAAATAATACATGGAATTAACAGAGAAAAAGCCTTTTGAGAATCTGATGAAAGCTGTGCACAGCCCCTTTCCCAAACCTTGCCTTACACACAAATAAATAAATAAAGGGACCATATTTTGTAAGCCTTTGTGGGAGTTTACCGACTCTCTGAGGCCCATCCATGGGCCCGTGGAGGGTTCACAGAAGCCAGTTTGAGAGCTTTAGGGTAGAAGGTAAAGAAGTTAGTAGTTGGTTCCGGGAAGAGAGGCAAGTGTATCAGGAGGAATATCTCTAGAGCAGGGTTTCTTAACTTCGGCACTATTGACATTTGGGGCTGGGTAGCTTTTCATTGTGGGGCTGTCCTGTGCGCTGTGGGATGTTGAAGAGCATCCCTGGAGCCTGCTCACTAGATGCCAGCACTAACTCTGCAGTCATGACAGTAAAAAATGTCTCCAGATATTGCCAAATACCATGGGGAAGCAAAACTGTCCCTGGTTGAGAATTATGGCCCTAGAAGCTGACTGATTCATGGGAAACGTAGCGTCACGGTAAAGACCTATCACTGTCAGTTTCTGAGGTCCTTGGAACTGAACTTGGATCTGGTTTCCAATCCTTGAGAGACCCAGCTATTATTCGACTCCTCTCTCTGCCATGGGATAGGAGTCTCAGAGCATACCCCATACCTCTCCTGCTCTCACTTGAGCTGGCTAGTCCAAGTGAATCGATTCTTTTCAGTGGTTTTCAAACTTCAGTGCACATCAGAATCACTTGGAAGGCTTAGTAAAACAAAGATTGCTAAAATCCACCCCCAGGGTTTCTGACTCATAGGTTTGGGGTGAGGCTTGAGATTTTACAATTCTAATAAATTCACAGATCATGCTGAGCCCAAAGTCCACACCTTACAGGAAAAAACAGGTGTCTACTTAAAACTTTTTCTGGAGCTCTTACAGCAGAGGCAGAAGGGCAGAAGACAGAATGAAAAAAATGTGACATCACATCCATGACTGTTGTCAGTACCCTGCAGGGTAGCACGGGCACCCATTCACCGAGGACGTGAACTTCATGTGAGACATACTTAATACTGTACTCTATTTTATAATCCTCTCAGTGACTTGGAGATAACAATAGCTAAGATTTTACTCACAAAGAAAATGAGGCTTGGAGGTTAGTGATTGGTCTAAAGACCTCACAGGTTTTAAGGGACTGGGCTATAATTTGAAGCTAGATCTGTTTTTATTAGTCTGAACTTTCTCTACTCTTCAAGACTTTTCTTTAAAGCAGCACAACTTTCTCTTTCCCTTATGTAAAATCTATATGGGATCTCAAAATATAAAACCGATAGGAATAGTTGAAAGGGGAGAAGGAAGAGTAGGCGACCAGTCCCATCCATTTGGCCTCCTGTTTGTACCTTTTGGCCCGCCTGGAGGCACCAGCGCAGAGGTCTAGGGCTCCTAGAAATCCAGCAGGAAAACCACTGCCTCACCTAATTCGGTCTTTCCATTAGTTCATATATTTCAAAACAATCTCCTTCAACAAGGACCCAGTTATCTGACTCATCCACACACTTGAATGCATACCATGAAAGGCTATTCTCTGACTCCAAAGAAGCGTACCATCAATAACAAGGCAGGGCTTCCCTGGTGGTGCAGTGGTTGGGAGTCTGCCTGCCGATGCAAGGGACGCGGGTTCGTGCCCCGGTCCGGGAGGATCCCACGTGCCGCGGAGCGGCTGGGCCCGTGGGCCATGGCCGCTGGGAAGGGATATCACAGTAGTTCCAGTTTTGCCAGATGAAAAGAGTTCTGGAGATTGGTTGCACAACAATGGGAATGAACTTAGCACTACTAAGCTGTACTCTTCAAAATGGTAAAATTTATGTGTATTTTACCAGCATTTTAAAAAGAGAAGATATCATGGTAACTACAACATTCTTGTTGAGTAGCTAAGGCGGCCAGGAAGTTAGTTATTTAGCGATTTGTTTGCTGTTTTGGTGGGGGACGAGTGGAAGGAGGATTGGAAATTTATAGAAAACAGGGCGTGCTTTAACATAGATGTATACTTTGGTTTTGCGAGTCATTTGCAAGGCATAAGTCAGTGAGATTCAAAAACTGTAGTTGAGAAAAACACCCCATGTAGAGAATCAAAAGGAAGAGTGTTCATATACTTACTCTTATTTCCTATTTTCAAAGACTTAAACCTCATTCTGGTTAGAATATAAGACGGCACGAGGCAGGAACAACTATATGGTTCAGGGCAGATTCCTGGGTCATTCAGAAGTTCTTAGAAGTACACCGTGCTGTTGGAGATTATTTCAATGCATGTGAGAATCCATCAGTTATTTTATTTGCTACTGTTATTTTATTTACTGCCAAGAAAAGAAAACCTCCAGCTAAATCATGATATGCCCAAAATTTAAAGATGTATCTCAATTTCAAAGCTAATAAAATGTGTATTAAGAAAGTGCATCTTAGAATTGAAAGTGTATGGTATAAAGAAGATAACCCAACATACTGTCTTAATTAAGTTAGTCTGGCAGAAACATTAAAAATAGATTTCCCTAGAGGACCAAGAAAAGATGTAAGTACATACCTCAAATATTAAGAGGAGCCAAAACAAGAGATTAAAGGAATGAAAAAAGGCACCCACTATATTCTAACCTTTATTACTCCATGGAATCATTTTCATTTGAGAGATGTTTTAATGGAAATGATGATTCAAAGATAGGTCTTTCCAAAGCCGATTTGGAAATTGGATATTGCATATACATGTTTTTCTTAGTAGCCCATTAATTCTTCAAATAGTTTCAGACATATTCGTATTGCATTTCAAGAAACACACAGAATGGAGAATAAACTGGGGAAGTAGAGCAAATGAAAAAAGTGTAGTAGAAACTGAAATATCATTTAAAAAGGGTAAAGCAGAGAAAATAACGGCACTTGAAAAAAATTTCATTGATTAAAATTAAACTATGAACATAAAAATCCATCTTTTTTTAAGAATAAGGGTTGATTCATGAATTTCTGAGTTAATCTCAAGTTTATAAGAAAATTAAATTAATTAAAATGCTCCATCCCAACCTCTGAGCATTATGGTTACTCAAGATGTGAATGCAAAGAAATAATACACTATTAGGTTTATTACAGGCTTTAAGAACCGGACGCAGCTCTTTAAGGAACTGATTTTTAAAAATCCTTTATGCTAACAGGATGGGGGTGGCTCCTTATTAATTCTATTCAATCTAATAAATGGAGGAAAAGGTCTTCTGAACCTCTATTATGCCTGAAACTTTTTGCTTCAGGCAATATCTCTTTTTCTTAAGTCTATAATAATCCTTTTGAATAGTTGTAAGAGATCTGGACAACTTCAAAGCCCAAATCCATCTGCCAGTTTTATAATCAATTGTACTGTGGCATTTAGGATATACAGTCACCATTCATAGGAGTTATTCATTCATGAAGAAACAGAATAGGTAATAACTTGAATACTTCTTTACTTGGTTGTCTTATCCTTAGATCGTAATATGAATAATTCAATTCCTTTCAACAAAAGTGAACCCTTACTCTATGTAAATGTCACTTTCTTGGGGAATGGAAAGAGTATACATAAAATATAGTAAGTCCCCTACATACGAACGAGTTCTGTTCTGAGAGCACATTCATAAGTCCAATTTGTTCATAAGTCCAACAAAGTCAGCCTAGGTACCCAACTAACACAATCAGCTAGAACTGTACTGTAATAGGTTTATAATACTTTTCACACAAATAATAGATGAAAAACAAACAAACACAAAAAATAAACGTTGTTAATCTTACAGGACAGTGCCTTGAAAAGTATAGCAGTGCAGTACAACAGCTGGCATCCAGGGGCTGGCATCGAGTGAACAGGCAAGAAGAGTTACTGACTGGAGGAGGGAGAGGAGGTGGGAGATGGTAGAGCTGAAGGATCGTCAGCAATAGGGGACTGCGGGTGGGAGGCAAGCTGCAATTTCACTCGTGCCTGACATTGATGGAATGCATCTTTGAAAGTTCGCAACTTGAAGGTTCGTATGTAGGGGACTTACTGTATAGTCTTGTCCTTGATGGACTTAGGCTTTATTATGTGGGGGGAAGAGGCATGATGACTATAACATCAAATAGAAAAACGTGAGGCCAGCTACTCAGCAGGCATGTAGTGCTACAAGGTTCTGGCCAGCATCTGTTCTGATTGGTCAGTGGCTATGCCAGTCCTCTTTTAAAATATTTTGAATATTACATCTGAATAACCTTCAGAAAATGATGTAAGCTGCCTATCCAATATCCCTTCTCCCTTTCCTCCTTATCAACACAGCCCTCATTCTGTTTAGGGTATCAGTGTGCCCAACCAAAGGAAAGAGCATTTCCCAGACTTCCCTGCACCCAGGGGTAGCCATGTGACACAGTTCTGACCAATGAGTTTTAAGCAAACGCCACTAGGGCAAAAAGCTCTTTCAAAGACAGTCGATTCAGCCAGCCCTTGACTTGCCCTTCTTGATATCCCTTCTTGCGTGGAGCCCAAACTTGAAGTTTTTAAAGGAGCAGCTGTCTTGGAACCATGGATGGCTAAGAAGAGAGTTTGAAGGAACTTGGGCCCCCGATGCCCTTGTTTGGCTACTTCATCAACCATGGGCTGCCTACCTCTGGACTCCTTAATAAATGAGAAAAATAAAACCCCTAATTTGCTTCAGTTCCTGGTCAGTCAGGTTTGGTGTGACACACAGTATAATACAGTTCTAAAAGACACACCAACCTAAGGTTCAGAATGGGGAAATTCCACATGAAGCCACAGAGATTAGTAAAGCATTATGAAAAGGACAGGACTTAAAAAAGTAGAATTTTAGAGGTGGAAGGAACCACAAAAATCATTGTGTTCAGCATCGTTGTGAAGGTGAAAGGGATGGGGCCGAGTAAAGTTGAGTTCTTCGTCCAAAATCCCACAGCTGGTTACCAGCAAAGTGAGGCTGGATTGATTCTCTTGCTACCTTGAAACACAAGAGCATCCATGAAACATTGCAGAAGGTGTGCTAATTTGAATGGATGAGTACCAATTTTGGAAGTGTGTAGAAATATATACTGAGAAAAGGTTAATAATTCAACAAAATGTGGGTGATAAAACCAGATGTCTTCCTCGACTCCTTAATTTCCAATCTTCCTTCCTACACTCCAATTCTGATAAATTTTACCTTCTAAATTTTATCTTTTAGGGAGCCGTCCTTGACTATGCCCTCCACCCTCAACTCCTAGTTGGGTGCCATGGCTTTGGACTGCTCTAACATCCGCACTCTGTATATCATAACACTCACTACATTGTATATTCATTTTCTCTTTAATGGTCCCTATCTCCACCATTCCATGAGGATGGAAATCAGGGCCATCTGTGTGATAAGGTACTGTTTAGCACTTTGTGGTTACTCAATAACTATTCATAGCCCATACTTGGACTTGGAAAAAAAAATGGCAATTCTCTAATGTTTACTGTTTTCATTGGGTGTGTAAGTGTTTCAGTTCAAATGACTTTTGGAAGCTTATACTGACTTATGGGAAATCTCTTCAGAAGTGAATAGACTGCCAACAAAAAGATACAGAGATATAGACGTCTTTCATAGAGATTAGCACATATAGTTTCAGGGATACTGCTGCTAGCCTAGGTTGAACTGAACATCATGAAATTTGGGCTTTCTGAAATAGATTTTTCAGCTGAGTTTACACATGGTTGTACCAAGGATATCTAGGATTTTAGTGGAAGTCACCCAGAAATCCAGGGAGGGAATGCTTAAGTTACACTGGATCCTTAGGAAATGGGGAGAAAAGGAAGGGCGACAATGGCTCCACTGGTACCTCTTACAGCCAAAACAAGAGAGAAGGTTGCAGAATTATCTGGTACATTTAGTAATAAGCACATTTGGGTAATTAAAGAAACAGTCTGGATTTCCAACATGGGCATTCCTAAAAGAACCAGTTATTCACCCAATGCTTCTCAACGAAGCTTGAGATGAAATCACTTGGAAACCTTCTTTACATTCTGAATGCTAAGCAAGCAATAGCTGTAAAATTTGTCTCTAAAGCAAGTTATAAATTCTTTGAAGCAAGATGTTTGCTTACTTGTGCAAATTAGGAATAGATAGGTAGTTTTAAAAAAAATAAATTTATTTATTTATTTATTTTTGGCTGCGCTGGGTCTTCATTGCTGTGCGCGGGCTTTTCTCTAGTTGCGGCAAGCAGGGGCTACTCTTCATTGCGGTGGGCGGGCTTCTTATTGCGGTGGATTCTCTTGTTGTGGAGCACAGGATCTAGGTGAGTGGGCTTCAGCAGTTGCAGCACGTGGGCCCTAGAACGCGTGGGCTTTGGTAGTTGTGGCACAGGGGCTTAATTGCTCCGCGGCATGTGGGACCTTCCCGAACCAGGGATCGAAACCGTGTTCCCTGCATTGGCAGGCGGATTCTTAACCACTGCGCCACCAGGGAAGCCCCAGATAGGTAGTCTTAAGCCATGGGGTTTGTTATGGTGGTGGAGTTGCAGAATGTTAAATCACAAAGGTAGTTTTAGGACAGTGTTTATGACCCAGGCTGTCTGGCTTTCCTCTTGATGCCACCACTTCCTTGCTGTTGCCTCATCTATAACCCGGAGTGATAATCGAACCCACCGTGTAGGGCTGTTGTGAGCATTAAGGGTAATGCAGTTCACAGAGAATGCTTAAAACTGTGCCTGGGACCTAATTTCACTCAATGGATGCCAACTGTCATCACTGGGTGCGGTTTAGCAGGGTTTCCTGTAAACTGTCGAGCTGATCCCACAGACTTAAAGACAATGAATAAAAAATGATCACAAATGTAACGATTATTCAAACTGGTGACTTAGATCAGGGGTTGGTAAACTTTTTCTTTTAAAGAGCCCCATAAATATTTTCAGCTTTGTGGGCCATGGGGTCTTCCTTGCAACTATAAAGCTCCGCTGTTGTGTGAGAATGGCCGTAGACCATACGTAAAAGAATAGGCTTGGCTGTGTTCCCAAAACACCTTATCTACAAAAACAGGACTAAAATGTTTTTATAGAAACAGATGGCAGGTGGAATTTGCCAACCCTTGATTTAGATAACTGTATACTGCTTTTGTCCAGAGCCATCTTTTGTAAACAATAGGTAAATATTCTGTTTTCTGCCTCAAATTCTTTCCCTCCCCTATTTGCATGATTGGCTCCACCTGATCACCTTATGTAACGTACCCTTTACACACACTCACATTCACACACACGCACGTGTGCACACACACTATTTGTTTTCTTC